AGGAGTATGCGAAGTGGGTTGGGTTCACTACTGAGTTGCTGTGTGTGAAGAAATTGTTTGTATATTTTAACATCGAAACAGTAAATATGTCTTCTATGTATTTGAACAGTATCTTGAGATTAGGATAAAATAATTTTATCGGTCCTGTGTTTCTGCTTGTATTCTGTCAAGTAGGATTGTAAACGTAGGTCTTAAATCTATTACTGATATTGTATTTTTGCCAGATACCTTTTTTTTCCCGTGAGGTCAAAAGAGATATCCAACCTGTATCCCTCTACCTTTAGAACTATACTGATCGATATAACGTCCTATAAAACCTATTTTATGCATTCTGAAAGGATTTATACCTACAGTGTGTATAACTTCAATAGTTTTAACTCCAGTTTCCATACCAAACCTAATATGGTCTACGGTTCTCATTTTTCTGTCTTTCAGTGACCCATTTGTCGTTTCTAAGTTTCTGTAAGTGTTATTTGAAAATTTCATTTGTTTAAACTGTTATAAATATATGTATTGCTTCATTTGGCTCGTATTTCAGATAGTCTGTGCCTTGAAATCATTCTATCTGATTACTGCAAGTGTATGTTTGATACCAAACACTGTGTATTGAAAATCCTTTAAGTAAACCACCTCAATATTAGAAGTTAGGTGGTCGTTAGCAGCAGAATTCATGAGGTACACTTAGTCCCATTTTGGATTTGTGAGCTGGATGCATTTAAACCCCAGGAAACCTAGAACTCAGTGCTTTAAATATCAAAGTTTTATCCACTAAGCTTCTAAGAATCATGTCTTGGGCTAGAGTAAACAGTTATCATTTATTGATACTTGTTAACACTCGCTGATTAGTTCATTCGTTTTTTGCAGATTTCTCGTAAACCGATCCAAACTTTTATTCATATCTAATGATATTAAATATTTTTTACGAAATGCTTAGTAGTAAAAGAGCATCTGATTATGAATCTGAATAAAAAGGTTGGAATGTCAGTTAATATATAAAAATATTAAGGCCTACGGATATGCCATGATGTGTCAACGAAGAACCTTGAGTTCAGTGCATTCAGACAACAGATTTCAGAAATCCAGTAGCAAATTAAATTGGAAATTTGTTTGAACGGATGTTATTTTCAGAGGTTAAAATGTTGGTTTTATTTTATAAAATTTCGTTGAAACAGTAACTTAATGGGTCACATAATACTGTTCCATTCTTATTGCATAAACAAAACATCGAAGCAATCAAATCTTTTATGAACGACTTGATTGTCATTAGGATTTCACCTTGTCAAATGCCCTTTCTGTTGCGTGAGAGACGTTGATCAACCTAAAACTTTCAGAAAACAGACATCTTTTGACCAGGAATTCTGAAGAAACCTTATGTCTTATGGAAACTGATTTATATCATCACTCAGTTTGCGAATAGCTGACGAAGTAGGCCCAAATTTTGAAAATAATACTGTCTCGTATATAAGTGCTGGTAGTTGACATATTTTTGGTATTCGCATGAAAGATCTGTTCAATTTTCTGCTGGTTCATTTCATCTATTATTTTTGTCATTATTATTTTCCCTTAGGTTCCTAGTAGAACATAAGGTTTCAGTAGCACGCCTCCATGGCAATCTCTTCTCTGCAGTCGTTTGAACTTGGCTGCACGACTCCCTAAAAGCTCTCATTTCTTCCTCATATCATCCTTCCATTTCACCCTCAACTCGGATGCCCAACTCATCGTTTCCCCTTTGGATTTCACTCGAGTGCCTGGCCTGGCGCGTGATGTCCCCAATTGGTCTTCTCAGTGTATGCCTCATTTCATCTATGCAATACGCAATTTATTTGACTATTCACGGAAGACGAATTATGGTTCACAGTATTCTATAATTTCTATTCAGTGAATGAAGTCTGATTGCAGAGGAAAGAAAACATTTAACTTCTTGGGTATTTCCTTGCAAATTGGGATAAAGAATTTCTCTTTAAGGATAGATTTAATACTTAGATCTGGATACTCAGGTTGCGAGTTTGAAATGACTGACTTTTTTTTATCCACTCCCCTCCTTTTCATTCATCTGAATATCCTTCAAACGTTTAATTTTGTGCTGTTAGAAAGTTTGGTAACTTGTTGTATTTCTATATGGAATTTTCCAATGTTTTTACGTCTTCCCTAAATATCAAATGTTGGAATTAAGGATATAAAGTAGGTAAGTGAAGGAAATTTTCTTATGAATATCATGATATTTTGTCTTATCTTAAGCGCTAGTTTATTTGACAGGTTAAGCTGATGAAAATCTATGCGCAAACCTTTAATCTAATGAAACTACAAGTTCTCAGTATGAATTTATGATTCATTGTAGTAGGAGATTAGGATATGTTGTTTAGATATTTGACAAAGTGAACAATTATTCTTAATTTTCAATGTCAACACTAATATCAATTAAAACTGATGCAGGAAAATGAGGAAGACAATACTAGATGTACGTTATAAATTGCCTTTTTAGATATCAACACCGATTTCAAATAATACAAGCCATTTTCGTATTTTAGTGTTTTCAGTTACATTAACTTTGTTTGAAGATGTTAGGTAATCTAGAGTGTAAGAAATGATAAAGGTGGATAACTGAAGACTTAGTTGTATTTCTTTTGGTAGTAATGAAATCTCCGCTTAAATTTGAATCACCAAAGTTACGTTAACATGTACTTGACCTCAGAAGACTTTTTTCATTGAAATCATAACATTCGATTCCTATTAGCAAAACATGCAAACAGTTAATGCATTCTGTTACTCGTATTGCATACTATTTTTTTAATGAATGAACAGAAACTTGGAAAATGACATTCCATTGAAAATTATCAGTGTATCAATTTATGAGATCATAGAATGAAATACATTTTAGTCGCAATGCAGGTTTGAGATAATAGAATTATTGAACATCTCCTGGGATAAAATATCACCGATTTTATTAATTCATTATTTATATTTTAGTGAATAACTGCATGCGATCTGCTGAATACCAGTATGCATTTATTTACAATTCTAAGAATTACTGAGAACTGCTATCTCACTTTTTTTTACTGATACTGGATAAGGTGACAAACAAAGCGATGTAATGAAATTCAAAGCAGATCACATCAAGAACAGTAATATGTTGGAGTTTTAAGATAAGACCATCTTTCAAATTACTGCTATCAGTTATATTCAGTACTATATTTTCCGGAGACTTGATCATAGTTTCTTCAAAAACAGGTAGAAAAAATTATAATTTCAGAGTTACATAAAGACTCAGCTTAAACGTTAGTGAGGATTTATCGACTTCAAGATGGTATTCATCTTGGACTTATAATAGTTAAAGGACCAGCGAAAATCTGGGAGTACTGTACAATTGTTTCGTATGACTATAAGACTTCTAAGTATTGTGTACCCATGACGTCATCAGAGGTAGAATCCAGGACTCATCTATTACATGGCGAAGATATTACCATTTTGCCACTAGCTCATGGGCGCACATTGCTGAAAAATCCTATTTCAAGATAAAATAGCTGTCCACTACTCTCAGTTTTTCATTACTACTCCAAGTGGTGTCAATACATGAATAATACTACTGTGATGTATAGATGAAGTCGAAATTATGAAGTTTGTATCTTTGTTCTGTCTTGTTTCACCTATCACCCCCTTAAGCGTAATTGTCTGTCGGAAATTGTAAATCCATATAGCTTTTTAGATTCATGTATACATTCGAGAGCTTGTGTTGTTTTACATACCACTTTTTCGATAAACTTTCGATACAAAATTCCTTATGAGTACCATGATGGTCAGTGCGTAAATGATATACACTAATGTTCCTATAATAGGACAACTGCGAAAACAAAATTCATTCCTACTTGTGGGTTCATATACCAAATGAAGTGATATTATTAGGGCTGGTCAGTAGCATACGTTGAGTACAGCTAATCCTAATTTACAGTCTATTTCTAAGTCAAAAGTTGTCAAGGTGGAACTGACTGCATTCTATGACGTTCATTCAAACCGTTGAAATGTTCGTATCAGCACGGTTTAATGCCATGAGGTATAGCAACTTGAACTATTTTCGTAGTATTGCCAAGGCCATTGTGGATATTGATTAGCTGACTGTGGAGCCTCAGTAGACAGTCTTTATGTGTATAGGAAGAAATCATCTCTTAAGCTACGTTAACTGTGAATTTTCATGTCTTCTATTATTTCTTTACAGATCGAAAATTGCATCTAATTCAAGTACAAAATCCATCTTTACAGAAATCATATTACATGATTCATATTTGACTTTAAAATGTGTGTACTATCTTCGTCCACCCAAGTACCTGCCTTTTTGTATGTACCCTGAAAATTCTACATTTCACTTATAATTGCTTAGATGATTTCCTTATTTTACTTACATTAACATACAACGATTTTGCATTGGTTGAACTATCATACTAATAGTATTTGTCTTACAAAATGAGAACTGGTACTACCGTCAAGTATGCTGATGAAATATTCAACTTCAAAGGAAACCAAACCAACGTAATTGTCATCCTGAGCTACAAATCTCCTCTATTATACCATTCATTGAATTCGTGTATAAATAATTTCTAATGAATGAGACACAACAAAATTTGAAAGCATGGACTACAGCTAATCAACTAAGGTCTTTAATGTATGCTTCTCACCTTCATAGGAAAAGATATCGCTCAAAAGCTTAGATCATGATAAAAGGATTCTTTAGCTCTTATGTTATATTTTTAGCCTCAATATGGATTCTACACTTCACTGAATGACTCATACTCACCTAATTAACTGCGTATTTATTATCCGGTTAAACAATCGTTTTAATCTGACCACATTTTGATTAATTTGCACTTGTTATCGCTTATACTTGAGTATACATACTCAAGTAATGTCGCATTTTTACATTTATGTACTGAATAAATGGCTAGTTACATTTACTATATAAATGCACTTCGTATACAGTAAAACCCATTTGATTCACTAAATTGAACAGAATGAAACGTGTATACTTGTATTTACTAGTGGTTATTTGCTATGGTGTGACTGCTCAATATAGTGGTTATAATCAACCTCGTGGTTATCGCAATAGACCAAATAACGGGTATAAACCCAACGGCTTTGGCAGAAATAATAACAACGATAAGTATTATAATAACAACAACTACAATAATAAAAACCATAATCCATCGGGTCATAATGGGAATAGAATGCCTAAACTTACTAAAAGATATACTATCGAAGGTCAATCTGAACATGTTTTTAATAAGCATGGAGAAAATTATCTCAAAGCATTCGGCTCAATGTTTGGCTTTAGTGATACCCACCAAGGATCTGATTATGCACAGACAACAACATTTCATAGTGGTGGTATTTATGGCAGAAACGGTAAAAAGAAATATTTTTCGACATACGATACTGAAGGTGAAGTGAAGCATTATCAGGATACAAAAGGACAAGTTAAACTTAAAGTGAATGGTTATTTAAATGGTCATGAAACAGTTGATGATAAAAGAAATGTTAAAGCAACTGCCACTTATGAAACTGATGGTAATTCTAGTGGAGATGATGATGCCAGTTATTCACCTATGGATCATCCTTATTGAAAGCTAGAAGGTTATCAAGCATCCAGTGAATCTGGAAAGAATGGAAAGTCAACTTATTGAATGTATATAATCATAAGTTCTATACTGCTAAAGTATTTAATAAAACTCTTAAATAGTACCTTTTAATTTTACTTTTTGTTATTATTCAGCATCAATGACTTTTCTGCTGGTGCCTTTCAAAGTCAACCATTAACTTATAAAGAAGTTAACCATGAAGAGATTTGCTAATGTCAGCTACATGGATGAAACTGAAGACCTGGATATCCAGTATAGCTTATAACAGTTTATATGTATGCATTGTCCTGGCTTCCTCTCAAGCCAGAGTGAAGAGAATATTACACATATTTCCGTCCCTGAAGAACTATAGTGAATGTTCACTATTACTTAACCAGATTTATTTGAGGCTGGATATCTTTAGTAGTGCTTGGGATATTTGAAAATAATTTCCTTATAAAAAATGATGCTATGCATAACTAGTTGAGAGTGAGAAATGAAATGAACCCAAAATTGTCTAATTGCATTGAACTACTCTCTTTGACATAGCTGTAACTAATATCGACGAATATTCAAAAGCTTGTGAACAAATATGGCATTCTACTGTCTTTTATGGATAGCGTCGTTATCAAATTTTACTCTCCTCTAATTATTGCTAGAATGTTAGTCGGTCGCTAAAAGGTTTTCATTCATTTTAGGCCTTAAAATATTCAATAGAGCTACATAGAACGTAGTTGAACATACGACTTTAACCAAATTTCATTTCAGTCTATGCAATGTCTTACTCAAAATCTACACGTCTCCACTAAAACATAGCAATTTCTGTTTGTACAGAAAGGTCCACATAGCTTTTATGCAAGTTGCTGTTTTGAAGTTCTTGACGTTTTTACCTTTATTAAGTTGAAGAATACAACTTGTTGATGATATAAGTTTCTAAAAGTAATGTAATATACGGTAACCAAGCTTATAATTCATACAGCAAAATGATTTTGACTTCCATTTTAGTCTGTTTAATGCATTACAGTGGAACAGTATTAGCTACCAGTAAATAATACAGCAAATAATATTATCTCACTGTGTGACATCTAATACGCAGACTAACATGGAATTACAGTCGACCACAATGCTTAACTTTTACTTCTATATTAAAGTAATTTCTACTTCGTATATCACTTTATCTGTAAAATTTCGGTAGTACTTGTTGGAATCTTCAGTTAGCGCACTATCTGGATTAGCCAACACCTAGATATGTGATATTTGATACAGTGGTCATGGAATCCAAGAAAAAGATAAAAGTAATACAGGTCTTGCTTAAAGATCTGATTCTTCACCTCTTCAATCCATTTTTTCTAGTAACCGAATTCACCAGTCATAAAAAACTCTAATCCTAGTTACGCTTTAATCTTCAAAGAGATCTATAGGAACTACGCACAGACGGTTTTCACAGATCTAAAATATATTAATCCTTTAAAAATAATCTTGTATGTAACTCAGTAGGCTTGGACTACATTAAGACAGTTTGAAGACGCCAAGATGATCTTTCGTTTGTTCTGCTATGCTCATTTGTGACTGAGGATGAGTAGATGACAATTGAATGAACAACATATCATGCAGTAATTCGGTGAACTACAGTGATTTAAGTATCAGTGTGACTAATTCTGGTATACAAAACGCATGTAAAATTTACAGTCAGTCTAAACGGTGGTAATAAGGCCAAACTAAGCGAAGATGAAGATGGATTTCTAAAATTTCTGCTTTTACCTATACAGACTCCATAAATGATTCTTTTTTTATATCCTTAAATTGAAAATTAGGTTTCCTGACATAATTTTCTACCTTTGGTACATTTTTCTCAACATATGCAAGAACAAAAATTTGATTGTCTGTAATACCCAGCTTCCTAGGTATCCAATTTTTGACTAAACTTTTATTAAATTGAATATAATAAGGCTGTATGCAAGTAATTATATCTTTGAATATAATTAATGATGAACAATGCCTAGTAGTGGAATCCAGGACGGGTGTTTCATTCTGTTTTGGACTCTTCAACTGCCTTGGTGGTTTAGTGTATAACGCTCTAGCATTTGAAGCGATCGGTCCCGAGTTCCAGTGTCGGTGGGAACAACATCACTTAATGGGAGGCAGGTACATCCAGCTGACAAGTCTCAAATAGGATGAAACGCACGTCTTGGATCCCACTGCTAGCCACTATCCCTCATTAATACATAATTGAATCTCGAGTACTATCCAGGTATCCGCTCAGGAGCCCATTTGCCAATGGAGACCGATCATTTGGTCCAGTCAACGACGGGATCATACAAGCAACAACACTAATCTGAATATAGTTATTAGATTTCTGGTTAGATTTGAAACCAAAAAAAATCAATTGTGGTTAGATTTCTAATTTTACCTTTATGTTTACTTTTCGGTAGTTACGGATAATAGAGATTTAATTTGGTATTAATGATGGATAGTGACTTACAGCGGAATCCAGTATGCATATTTTGTCCTATTTGGGATTCAGCCATCACGCCCATGTAGTGCTTTCCAGTGAGTGGTGTTATTGTCCATCGTGACTCAGTAGCCTAGTGAATAACGCTGAGGCGTTTAAAGCAATCAGTCTCGAGTAGTAGTCTTAATGGAAACAACATCATTCACTGGGAGACAGGTACATCAAGCTAACAGTCCTCAAATGGGATGAAATTCAGGTCCTAGATTTCACCGCCAGCTATTATTTGCCATAACTATCACACTGGAACGCAGGTAGTATCGAGGCATCCATGCAGGAACCTTTGTGCCAAGATAAATCGATCGAATTAACAACAAGAAATTACTAGCAGTAACATAGAGCTCTAACTTTTTTATGTTGTTTCTAGGTCTGTAGCGAATTATGATGATCCTTTTGTGTTGAATATAGTTTCAGCAAATAAAGCTGCTAATTTCATTCTGAATTGATTTTGGTATCTCAACCATTTATTCGGCAATCTTGCTGTTACTTACACGAGTTCCTCAAGTTATGCGTCGCCAAACTTGTCTAATAACAGTAGAAGAAACGGCACAAACGACTGTATTGCATTCTATTCCTGTTTAGCGTCTTCAACCGTATGTTCTGAGTAACCCATGTCTTTGGTTCTCCGGAATCAGGTATTTCTGTGACATTTAGTAAAGGATGTCAAACATCAAAATATGCTTACGTTGTCGTGGCGCTACCCACTGGTATTGCTACCAGAGTAAGCAACTTGCTAGGTAATATTGCTGAAAAGGCTCCTTGTGACAATTAAGAAGTAGCAGTCATATAGTGGACATCCATCCTAATGAGAAACATTTGGAGCAACTTTGACCACTTGTGAGTTGGGAGACAAAAAGAGAAAGTAACTTCCAATATATATGAAACAATTAGTTGGCTCACATAAGTTAAATGAGGGGGATTTTGAAGTAGATGTGGTTACAGAGATTGCCTTACAATATCTGTCATATACTCAGTATACCTTCTGAAGCTATTGAGTTGGATGACTTGTTGGATATAGCTAATTAAGTGGTGGAAGTATATCCCAAAAGTTCTTTCATTAACTGTTTATCGATGACTCTGACAGAGAACAGTCAAAGTAGTATTCCTTCGGCCCTGCCAAATTCGTCTAATTTGAATTCACAGTTAAACATCTTGCGATCTCATTTAGAGTTTTGGAAACTGGTATCAAAAAGGCCCATATCCTTGATCCACGTCTAGTAGGAGCTTACATGACAGACGGCGGGGCACCGCACATAAATAGCCTAACAAGATATTCGTGTATATCATCTAAAGTTCAGTCACGGTGACAGGAGGTGCATAGGACCTAGTATCTTTAATAAACGTTCGCCACTGGTTCAGTGGAAGTCGATAACCAAACAGTGATGGTTACAGCTGTTTCTGGGAAACATTCCAGTTATCTCTTACGTGAAGGATAAAAGTCCGAACTTCTAATTTTCGGTCGGCATGGGTACCGAAGTTAGTATTATTCCGATCTCACGATCACGGTGACCATCTAAAACATCCAACAAATTACCTGTTCATGCGCGTACAAAATGTGTTTCAGTGAGCGACCTCTCATAATAGATCTCGGTCTACTCCACTAATTCTCATTGATCTTCATCATTGCCGATGTACATCACACCATATTAGGTGCTAATTTCCTGAAAGCTATCTGTCTACTAGTTGAAATCAACAATAGGAAGCTGACTGACACATGCACTAGCGTGAATGTCCTCAGCATATTATCGGTTTACTCCGTTTACATAGTCTGTCTTGAGAAGCCTGAATATGGTACGTACACTTCAGAAATCCCTCACTCTTTCAAAATCTGATTATCGTAGCCAAGGAAGCATTCCACAGTATGGTGTATGAAATTTTCATTAAAGACCATCCTGTCCGTGTATGACTCTGACTCTGACAATCAGAGAAACTAGCAGTTGCTAAAGTGGAATTTGAATATGACCATTCAACAGTTCTTGGGTTTCTCTACCGCATGAGGTTGTAAAAAGATGCTGGGATTTGCATCCATGAGGTGACTATCACGGTTTGGATTACTCAGCGACACTTGATCGATAGCCTATGCCACATCTGCATTACTTTTTCATTTTACATGGAGTAAACATGTTCTGTACAGTGAATTTAGTCCAGGTATATCATCAGATACCAATTGCAACGGAAGACAATGAGGAAACGAAAATAATAACTCCCTTCAAATATTTGAATTTCTCAGAATGCTTTTTGGTCCTAAAATTGCTAAGGAACCGTTTCAGCGGTTCATCCACTAGGTTCCTGAGGTCTGTTTTTTGTTTTTCTTGACAACGGCGATGCCCTGAAAGCAAGTGTTACACTAAAAATATTTGGAACATCCCGATATACTATTTAAACGTTTTCAGCAGTATGAAGTAGTTATTTATCTGAATAAGCCTGTTCTGTGTGCATCGTCGTTTTAATTTTTAAGACATCGTATGAAAGATAGTTTTTGGTCAACAAAAGTATT